TAAAAATAATTAATATGCCTTCTAAGTTTCTCACCTCGATCACAAGTGTCTTTCTTGGGAAAACTATATCATGAAGGATACAATATCACTGCCTGTTACAGCAGGTCTACGAGTCTTAGACTACACAAGTTAACTCGGTAATTTTAGCAGCATGAGGATATGTGGAAACAGCAGAAGCTGGTTTTATTCTGTTATAAGATCTTCCACGCAGCAAATACAATCTACTGAATAGAATTTCAAGGCCAAGCAGCTTTCCTGATCAAGTTATTGGAATTTCTTCTCCAGAAAGCCAAACATTAAGATAAAATTATCAAAGAATGAGAAGGCTAAATACTATAATGCAATTTACTTAAATTTTTTGAGTTCTAAAAACTCAAATGTCTCTATCTTGACAGTATCAAATTGATATCAGCAACTAAAAAGATTCTATAGGAAACTTAGGGGCAGGGAGCTCATGTCAATGGAGGAAGCACAATTTAGGAAAGGAGAATGAGAATAGTTGTACAACTTGAAGAATATAACCATTGGATTGTATGCACACGTAGAAATTGTGTAATTGGGGTACGCTTGGCCACGAATATTAACAACAACAATAACAAAGAAATCCTGCATCCCTTTGCATCATGACCCACTTCTCTACTTCAACTCCTCAGCCTTAGGAGTCCTAAGGCTCCTTGGAAGCCAGGATGGCAAGATTTCATCTCACGTACTTTGGACATGTTGTCAGGAGAAGCCCATCTCTGAAAAAGGCCATTATGTTTGGTAGAGAGTGGGGGGGGGGGGGGGGGGGGGGAAGAATTTTATGGTTGGGGGGGTCACCACAACATGAGGAAATGTATGTACACATTTAGCTCTATAGATTTGTGTCTTCTGGGAATCTCATACATATGAAATTATGTACATTATGTGGCCCTTGTGACTAGCTCATTTCATTTAGTATGCTTGCAAGGTTCATCCAGTTTGAAGCATGAATCTGCATTTCATTTCTTTTCATTGCCCACATTTTGTTTGTCCATTCACCAGTTGATATCCATTTAGATTGTTTCTACTTTTTGAGTTATAAATAATGTAGTTATAAACATTTTTATACACTTTAAAATGTGCATGTGTTTTCACATTTTCTTGAGGGTTATTAGTAACTCTATGTTGAACCATGTGAAAAATCACCGGACTGTTTTCCAATCATTTTCGACAGCAGCAGACCAAGGTTCAAATTTCTCCCTGTCCTCGCCAACACTTGTTATTTGTCTTTTCAATGATAACTTTGGGAGGTCAAAATAATGGTCCCTCTTGAAAAAAACAAAACAAAA